TTTTTTTTGATCAGTTCATTTGCCTTCATTCTCCCTATTATTTAATTGATCAGCTCATTAATTCATTCATTTAAAAATGATAAAGAAACAAATGATCAATGCATAATTTTAAGGCAAAAAGTTTATTACCACATGCTTTTTACTGAATTATTTTTATTGGACTATATTATCAGCAGTATTAAATCATTTATCCAGTTAATGAATTCATTAAGTTCCATTTCATTAAATGATCATTAATCATGTGCATCATCTTCTATCAGATTTCATTAAATGACCATTAATCATGTGCATCATCTTCTATCAGATGATTTTTCTTATTTAATATGCAAAATTTTGATAAAGCATTCTTCATTCGATAATCAATGAGGAATGATCATTAGCTGTATATGGTTATAATTATATTATATGTGCAATAAGATAGTGTCGAAAATTCGAAATCAATTTATAACACGAAATATTGCATTAAATTCATTAGAAATATTTTTATATAAAATTATTCTGACAGTTAAATGATGTATAATTTTGTTTACGATAAAATTTCATAACAGATATAACTTAATCTATCTGACCATCAGATTATTGTTTGATCGCAAAATTACCTTTTGTTTACACCAAATTTTAAGAATATTGGTCGCGCTTCATCTTACGGAAATCATCGTTCCCATCAAACATTAAGATTATTATTCACTTTCACTTCTGACATCCAACGGATATATAACCCATATCTTACTTGAGGAAATCAATTTCATTTTCATATTCATTAGTATCCAGTGGTTATCATTTATATGTATCATTAATTAACTATCTAACCAATCCAATAAACTACATATTTTAGATCAAGAATTGAATCTATAATCCAAGCCAACTTATTTGATCGTGTTCTAATAGAACGATAAACTCCTATCTCAAGGAACTAACCCAATAACGTCAAACTAAGAAAATTTCTTCAAAAAGAAAAATTCCACCAACAAATTCCATTGTGCCACATAACAATAAAGCTTTCTCAAAACAAATCAAATCAAACAAACCCATTCACAACAAAAGTGTTATCAATTGCTCTAATTATAAATGACAATTAATTTATTGGTGTCGAACAGTTTTGATTTTTTTTTTCTCGATTTGCTAAATTATAAATGTATTACAATCAAGAACTCTCATCAATCTCTTTAATCGATAAATGATAAAGTGTATAGTGAGATCTTATCAGTTTCATGAATTATAAATAATAATAGCGTTAAAGTAATTTGATAAATTGTGAATAACAATATGCAATAATCCTTTGATAAATTATAAATTGTGATTGTATAATAGTACCGATGAGATTTCATTCAATTGGTAAATTATAAAGACAACAGTGTAATAGCATTAAGAAGGTCATACTACTATATTGGCAATTTATGAATGATAATATTACATTCATAGTGTAATAATATTGAAAAAGAATTCTTTTATCATGGGTGATAAATAATAGTAGAGTATTGATAATAATGTAATGATATGAAAGCAAGAATTTTTGTAACTTTTGGCAAACTTTTATTACTCACAAAATTTCCATTGAAATGATGGTTTCTTAAGCTTCCAATTTTAAATGTCATAAAAATTTGTCAAAAATCAGTTTTCAAAAACTATTCATACTCACATAAGCATGCAAACATATGCACGAAATAGTTGTCTTTGTTATCATTGGTGGTAGAGGAAATACGAAATCTGCTCCCTTTACTTCAATGCTTCCGCACCGTCAATTATGCAATGGCAATTATAAATAGCAAACTGAACGAATATTTTTATGCATATCTTTTAATTTCATTTGATCTTTCATTTCTTATAATCATTCCTATCAATTATAGCTATAAAAGAAATGATAAGAAAAATAGTATACATTTAGGTAATTTAATTGTTCGCACATTTTTCCTTCCCATCCTCTTCACATCTTCCCTTCAACATTTCTCTCTGTTTAGTATTCATTCGTTTCTAATATCATTTGGTTCGATTTTACATATATATATATATATATATATATATATATGTTTGATATTAAAATGATATAAATACAATTGAGGAATATTATAACTATTGTTCATTATTGTTATCATTATCATTATCATTATCATTATCATTATCATTATCATTATCATTATCATTATTATTATTATTAATTTGTGTAAAATTACTATTACTTTTACACGTAATTATTTGAATTGTTGAAATTATTCATTAATTTTATTGCTTAAGTATTGAAAGTAAGTTAGGTATGTTTTTTTTTTTTTTTGTAGGTTAGGCGTGCTCTTGTATTTGTATATTTTAGTGCATGTTATCATTAATATACTATGAATGATTTTTGTTTCATGTAATATTGCATAAATTTTGAAAGTTACTGAATTTCAAAAAATTTAAGTGATTTGAAGTCTCAAATTCATCAAAGTTAATTCGAAATTCATTAAGACTTACAAATATTTTCTTTAATTTAAGTGAAAATTCATCATTCAGCAGCATCAACCACAGTTGAGGATGGCCACAGTTGCTTCGTTAAATGTCAACGATGCATCAATAAATTATGGAAAGCCAAATGGTCTTCATTGGATTACTGCTGCATTATTCCTTATTGCTGATATGGCCGGTGCCGGTATTGTTGCATTTCCGGCAGCAATGAATCGATCCGGTAAATTATTTCTTTGCATTAATTTTAATAAAATTAAATTATTGTAGTAATTAAGTTATTACTCGAGGCATTCACGATCAATGATCATTTAAGCTCATTTCTAGTACAATATCCTGAAGTAAGTTAATTAATTAATTTTAATTTACTTCCGATAGCATTCGTAAATTTTAAAATGTTTAATTTCTGATCGTTGTTGATGAAAATTAAATAATAATGAAATTGGCAGCAGATTTGTTAAAAAATTTTTTCATGAGCTGTTTTTTAGCGCATCTATTGCAACTTACATTTATTATGTTCACCTTTTCAAATTTTATTAACCACAATCAGTAATTGAATTTTTAATGACAAAAGCATATCATTGAAAGTTTAGAGGAAGTGTAACTTTATAATACGAAAGTTATGTACTGCTGTGAAGTTCACTATTTCCGAAGTGATCTATTTTCCTCGCTGTACGTACGTCTGAAAATTTGAAATACTTAACTTTTGTCCCTATTTTGCTGCTAGCGGTTTTTGAAAATCAAACCGTCTTTTAAAGAAGGCAAGAAAGCTGTTAAGCAATAAAGGTCATAAAATGAAATTTGAATCTCAACATTTGTTGTTTGAACAATAAAATAATGCTTAACTCTTCCATTACTCAATTTTCGTGGCATCAGATGACATTTTTAAAAGACAGCGCTGACGCAGTATGAAAAACTTTTGCATTATCCAAAAACAGCTCCAAGAAATTAATTTTAATGAAAAAG